TACTCAGATCATTATAGGCTTTTTTATGCGTCTGTAGTAAGTAAATTATTTTGGAGTCAGTTTTAAGCTTTGCTAAGCTAAGAGATTCAAGACGCACTTTGTAAGAGTATAAGTTCATCTAGTATTATTCTCGTAGCACGAGTTTGCATGATTTTTTTTAATTTATACTATTGATGTTGATTTTGTGTTTCTTTTTTTTTTCATTTTGTGTATAGTAATTGTATTTATTTGATTTTACACATCTTCGGATGGGCGTTTTACACTTTATCTTATCTTCGGCAGCCCTCACCAACTTCCATTATATTATTTCTATTAGATGTCGGTGGTTAACAAAAAAAGTAAATAAAATATTGTAAATTTCAATCAGAGCTTACCATATGCCTATCTAAACATAAATCGAATTCTTTAAACATAAAGATACACAGTCTAGTTTTAAATTTAAAGCTCAAGGTTAGAGTGTAGGTTTATCATTTTCATTGACCTTTGACATCTGAGGGTCTCCCGAACTGAAACTTTAATACTGTAGCTCATCACAATATTCGAATCACATGGGTGGGAGTGCGGGAGATTTTAATGCTCTTTGTTGCATCTCTAATTTAGTTGGAGCTGGAAATATGCAAGGGCGCAGATCTGTTTTTGAAAGGTGGGTGGGGGAATTTAGAAAATTTGAGGAACCACTAGATGGCAGGAAATGACACTTTTATATAGTAAAATTCATCATCATTACATCACCATTATAGCCTAGTCAAAATGAAGCTGCGCCAACAAATTTCTCATGATCTTTTATCAACGATTTTCGGCAACTAGGCCTATAACGATCTAATCATATGTGTGATGTACCATAAAATTTTTAAACATTGTCTTTGATGTATTTACCCCCTTAAAATATACGGGGGACGTTCCCTCACCCCCATGGTCTGCGCCTATGGAAATATAGGTTATTTTTTCTGAATTTTGATAAATTTAGTAGGCATGTTGTTTTAGACATAATTATTTAAAACATTGTTGGAAACTGAAAAATAAATTGGTATACTGTAGTAAAGTAAAGTGAAAAGTAAACATGTGAGCTATTACTGGGATAATCTTATGATCCTCTGGCCACTAGCCTAGGCCTATTTAAAAAATAATAATTTTATGTAAGCCCTAAATGGTGCTTTATTTAGTAAGACCCTTCATGCTTGTATACAAGAACAATTCTAGCATAAATGGATATTTGGACATTTAAACCTCCTGTTACACGTTGCTGGAAATACGATTCGGTGCTTAATACATAAATGGGCTGAAATGTACCTCGTTGAAATTCGTGAAGAACCTTCGTGACCCTTTTAATGTCTCAAACAAGAGAAATCCCGCATGTAGTACATTTTAAACAATACCTGCTATCTCCATTTTTATAGGCCTAATAATGCAGAGGATGTTTTCTACTTACTTTCTTGTAAAGCACTTTCTAATGTCATCGAACTCAGCCGTGGTTTTATTGAAAATGAGTACCTCGGTAATATTTCCGGTGCTAAACGATAAACCTTCTCATACAGGTAATTTGAATGAATTGATTTTCATCGTGTTTTGCAACAATGATGCAAAAGTGTATTTTCCGTCTACAATTAATGGAACCTACTTATTTGAATAGGTAAACAACATCTTAGATTTGATTTTCATTGAAAAAGGCTAAATATTATGAATAGGTCTGCTTCTACTCTTGCTACTATGATGGAAATAGTAATAATAATAATAATAATAATAATAATAATAATAATAATAATAATAATAATAATTCATTCATTCATTCATTCACTTTTTATTATCAAACCTTTTAGCAGTAAAACATAACTAAATTGCGAGCAGAGTTACAAAATATACAAAAAATCTAAATTATTAAAAGATAATAATAATAATAATAATAATAATAATAATAACATTAATATTGAATAATAGTAATAGTAAAATAATATAGTATGTAATGTTATTAGGTCTAATAAAAGCTTCGTAATTATAATAATATCACAATTCTTCATAATCTTTACCACGATTATTATCACTCAATCCATCAGTCAATGAATCAACCAATTAATTAACAAATGTAAAAAATCATTTATTTAATCAATCAATTATAAGTTGATCGCGGCGCTTTTAATTTATCGTATATAAATCCAAAGGAGCAGGAGCCACAAGGTAGAAAACGATAATATGAATACCACACATCATCATCATTATCACTATTTTATCCATTGCCTATAGGGAGCCGAAGGACTCTGAATATGGATAAAAAGAGTAATGAAAACATGTAATTAATTTAGAAGGAATAATCGTTTAAATAAAACTAATAGCTATGTATAGGCATTGCCCATACCACAAATTACTCAACGCAACCATGAAGTTATAATTATTTTGCAAAATAATCAAAACTCTATGACCCAAATATCCGGCTCTAATTTGAATTGAAAAATAAAGTTTGATAAAAATTTGATGCATTAAAAAGAAGCGTCACTTTTGTTAATAAAATTTATACACACTTCACATTATTTTTATTAGGGCCCTATATATTTTTATTACATCACGGTAACTCTGGTAAGGTGTAACGTCTCCACTGGCGATTATTAATTTCATTAGTTACGGTACCATATTAGTTACGGAGATTTGATTTCCGGAAAAAAAATAATAGCACAATTATGCAATTCATATAGATATTCAAACACTTTAGATCTTAATTAATCTTTGTTAATTCACGAAATCATTGATTGTTCACCAATTATTTACAATTATTTAGGCCTATATGCCGATAATTCTTTTAAATTAATATTATTGAATTTATGAGGAAGAAAGGGATATTCCACTTCATTTAATTTAAAATCAGTACACCTAATTACTTTTCAACTATTAGGCCTATTTTGGGGCATATGAATGCTTAAAAGAATTGGTGGTCGTCACTTAAAGTTCAATGTTCTGATCATGATAATTCCAAAGCATTATCAGTGAAAGAGTTTGGAACTATACAGTGCCTTAGGCATACCTCAGGAAATAAGATATTGGAAAAAAATAAATTGTATTGCAAGTGATAAGTTAAACATACATACGGTGCCTCATATACAAGCTATACTCAGTATTACGGTGTATAACATGAGTGATTACAAGGTTATTACCGTATAATGTGTACCTGTTATTATATTATCGTACAGGAAATTAACAAGACGCAACAATACCGCTAGCTGTTACTCGTGTAAGCGATTACAAACTATTTAATGACGTCAACAAGCAATTGTAAATTTCCCCTGAAACTTTAATTTGGGTAAAGAATTAACTAAAGAGGGTAGGGGTAGGCCTGTAAGGATTCATCCTGTACAATTACTTTGGCCTATATACAAATATTATATAATAGGCCTATAACATTATATTATATTCCTAGCTTAACCTTAGCTCCACTATTTGTGAGCGCAGAAGTGAGTTGTATGAAAGAGGTTAGGGGTTAGATCTGCACCTACTATGTCTCTAGTCTAAAAAGCCGGGCACTGCTCCCGAGATTCTATGGAGAACGTAAAAGCGCCGCTTTCGAATATATATATATATATATATATATATATAT